AAGTTATTTTTGACTGGTCCTCGCACTTTTGACCAGTCCTCGAACTTACGACTGTCCTCACATTTTACGTTTTTGCCCTATCTTGTCACCATGGTGAAGAGAAGCAGTTGTGAAATGAGTGACATGGTTGTTAAGAATGCTACAATGGGCATAAATGATGACCAGTCATAAGTGCGAAGACCGGTCAAAAGTGCGAGGACCTGTCAGAAATCACTTTTTTCAGCCCTCTGGGTAGTCCTTTTGTGCATATGGACTACTCAGAGGGCTGAAAAAGTTATTTTTGACTGGTCTTCGCACTTTTGACCAGTCCTCGAACTTACGACTGTCCTCACATTTTACGTTTTTGCCCTATCTTGTCACCATGGTGAAGAGAAGCAGTTGTGAAATGAGTGACATGGTTGTTAAGAATGCTACAATGGGCATAAATGTTGACCAGTCATAAGTGCGAAGACCGGTCAAAAGTGCGAGGACCTGTCAGAAATCACATTTTTCAGCCCTCTGGGTAGTCCTTTTGTGCACAGGGACTACTCAGAGGGCTGAAAAAGTTATTTTTGACTGGTCCTCGCACTTTTGACCAGTCATCGAATTTACAACTGTCCTCACATTTTACGTTTTTTGCCCTATCTTATACCATGTTGAAGAGAAGCAGTTGTGAAATGAGTAACATCGTTGTTAAGAATGCTGCACAGGCATAAATGTGAGGATGGTCATAAGTGTGAGGACCAGTCAAAAGTGCGAGGACCTGTCAGAAATGACTTTTTTTCAGCCCTCTGAGTAGTCCCTATACACATAGCCATGGCCATCCGGTCACATGACCAGCTAGCCACGCCCACTCAGTCACATGACCTCCAAGCCACGCCCACAAAATAAGCCACGCCCACAGAACCGGTAGTAAAAGAAATTTAGAACCCATCCCTGGTTGGGGGTCACCACAACATGAGGAACTGTATTAAAGGGTTGCGGCATTAGGAAGGTTGAGAACCACTGTGTTAGTTGAACCTAATTAGAGACAATGATGAGACATACTATTTTGGATTATTTTCATGGACCGCCATGGCTATAATTGCTTTCTAGAATGAGAGTGTAGTAAACTGTCAATAAGATAATAAAAATAAATCCAGAAGCCCCTCTAGTTCCTTATCTAGCCTCTGTGATTAATCCTGGTCTCTGGAATAGAATCCTTCCAGAGATATGAAGAACAGCCACTTTCCTAGAGTTCTTCAAAAGTCTTGACTTTGTTCACAGATTTTGACCTATGATTTATGAGATTCTTATGCTTGGTTGGGCCCCTATTTTATTTTTATACTCTTTATTGCTCTAGTTGACTACTTATGTGGGTTTCAAATTGTTTTTAACTGCTTTTCTGGATTTGGTAAAGTGCCCAAAGTCTTCTGGAATAGGCAGCCATAACAAATCAAATAAATCAAATCAAATCAAGTTTTATTAGTAGCATAATGGTGCCTCTGCAATACAAGCAAGCGGTTAGAAATAGAGATATCTCTTTTTCACTGAGCAGCTGATGCTCTCAGAACAGTGATTTATATCAGTGGGAGGCAAAGCATTACTATGTATATGTTTATTTCAAGACATGATATTGTAAGACAGAAAATTCTTTGCAATGTGGCAACATCGATCTTAATGACAGCAAACCAGGGCTCTCCTGCAGAAGAACAAGGTTAATTCCAGCTGTTAACATAACAGGTTGGTGCATAAAAGCCAATTGCAAGAGACTATTGGTTGAACATATACCCTGGAATGTCAGTGTTGAGTAGACTGCTGTCCTTTTATTTATGGACACCATATGCAGCCTGCTATGCTTAGTGTTCTGTTCAATAGCAATTATACAAAAAATACCTTGATATGTGTGCACCACCCTAGGGAGAACAATTTAAGAATCTAGTAAGTGGGAGAGAGGAAAGGCAAAGCTAGAGCTTGAGAAATATATTGGGTAAAATTCATGCACTTCTAGTAAGCAAACATGTAATTTCCATGATTTCTTTTTAATGGCTGCAGTCTGACGCTAGTAGGACCTGATTTATGAAAAGCTGTGAAAGATCAGGTGGAACCCTGCAGGACATCATTTACAGCTGTACGCATTGCAGTCTATCTAATTTGTCTAGTAAAAGTGTGAGCTTATGGTGCATATAACCCAGTCCATAAATTTCATGTTTAGACCTGTTGTCTAGGGGCTGGGTCAAAGGCAGGAGGGGGGCTAGAAGCTAGTAAATGCAGATGCTCTGAAAGCTTTGCATTCCCTTGGTGCTCATGAGGAGACATCACAGACTGTTCACAGCAAGAAACAAATTCCTGTTCATTGATAAACTGTCCAGATGTCCTCTCCAAGGAAGAAAATAGCCTTTTGGCTTTGTTGCAACATCGTACACAATGTTGTGATTATTTGAATTAAAATTAGTTAATATTTTTGTTCATTATATCAGTAAACATGAAAAAAAAAAGTTTTTGCACATTGTTATTATCCTGCTTATTTTTTGTTCTTTCCCAGGTTTCTTCTTTTTTTTAAGTTGCTTAAATTAATGCATCTTTTTTTTTTAAATAAAACATAAAAAAAAGGAGCAGGATAGGTTAATTACAAATTCTCAATATTTATATACACCTTGGATATTTCTCAGGTAAACTGGAAATTAAAAATGTCATTTTAATGAGACAAATAGTCACTTTTGATATGATTAATATAAAACGTGTTTGTTATTTATTTTTGAATGAAAATTTAGAAAAACTGGCAGAAATCCAGAGACATATGTGAATATGTGGTCCTGAAGAATTGCATATCTACTCAAAGCTTTCTTTAGCCTCAGCTATTTAATAGTCACAAGCCATTCAAAAGAAAACTCTAAACATCAGCTCATATTAAAGAAGGTGGCTAATAGGTGTTTACATAAATGGGCACATTCTAGTTTTACAACAGTAGTTGATATAATATAATTCATATATTATGCTATTAATAGTATTCATTAAACAGTATTTTCCATATTAATGTAATAATAATAATAATAAGCACAATTATAATGTTTAGAATAATCTACAAATTCCCCAGTGGGTTTCCACTCCTTAGAAGACACAAAGAGAAGCACGAAACATCCTGATTATTGTGTAATACATACAATCTTTCCTGTGCCATCCAATACTTTTTAATAGCTCTGTAACTGTGTGAAGAGACAAGGGGCACTCAGTGGGAGAAATTATGGAATTTGAGATAAGGTCAGCCCTGTTATTAGGTGAAATGAGGCATATAGACTGAAGTTTGAACGGTTTCATGATAGATTTTGAAGAAAAGAGCTGTAAGATTCACTTTATGAATGCTGCATGTGGGATGTAGAAAGCATAATCTTGTCTTTTACCTCCACTATAACATGTTGTTAGCAGTTATTCTGTTTTAGTGACAGAATTGGACAAACCGAGATGAGGCAGATTAAACATAACAGACTAGACTTTATTCATTAACAAGCAACTCCTATAACGGCTGTAACTGAACTAATTGAACGTTCCATCTGACAGCTCCTTTTATATGTGAGCTGTCAGACGTCTCAACCAATCGGCACTCATCCTTTTCCACTCGTGCTACAAGGCCAGCTTGTAACCTTAAAACGCTACACTGGTCACGTTTATGGACCATTTATCCCAGTAGTGTCAGTACTACATATCTTGGCTGGAGTGGCAAAAATTCATATTAGTCAACAATTTTGACATAAGATTGTTGAATGCATCACATAAGGAAAAGAGAACAAAAATGAAAAGAGAGACTGACCGATGTCTTCCTTCAGCAACATCATTGCTGAAAATCCATTCATGTTGAGTTTCTTGAGTTTCTGGTTTGCTGTTGTTGTTTAAGAAATCTCATAGTATTGACCACAATTTTGAGCAAAATCAACTAGAAACTTTTTGTCAAATGTTATAGTTGGAAAAAAGTCTGAGGCAGGAGGCAGTATGAAATAGAAAATTATGCTCTGTGTCATCCGTAAAACACAAATATTATTAAAAATGTTTAAGGAATTTCATTAAAGCACAGATCTTTAGAAATGCACAAATATAACCACAGATCTGCTCATAACCTACAAGAGTTTTAGACGAAGGCTTAGGAGGTTTCTCTCAAATTGTATATTTGATAAATGTTAAAGAAGGGGGAAGGTATTAAATATGCAAATGACAACGAGAGTTACATAAAATAATAAAAATAAACAAATAAAAGTAAACATAATGAAATTATTTTGAATAGAAAATAGGAATATGAAAGCCAAGTATATGTCTGAAGAACAATTATACATTCTTTCCTTTCAGAGAATATCTTTGCAGATTGTCTCCTAATAGGACATGGCTTTCAACAGGTGCTTTCTGTATATTTGGTTTATGTGAGTATTAGGACAGGCCATTCTAAGATACCAGGCCCTAAGCTTTACAAGACTTTATGGAAAATAAACAATACCTTGAATTGCATATAACAACAAATTGATAATAAGCATATCTTATATAGCAATGGTGTAATTTGGTATAATATGACAAAACCATTATTGAAATATTTTTCCATGAGCCGCAGTGGTTAGAGTGCAGTACTGCAGGCTACTTCTGCTAATCACCACCTTCAATGTTTGTCACATTGAATCTCACCAGACTCAAGGTTGACTCAGCCTTCCATCCTTCTGAAGTCGGTAAAATGAGGACCCAGATTGTTTGGGGGCAATATACTGACTCTGTAAACTGCTTAGAGAGGGCTGTAAAGCACTATGAAGCGGTATATAAGTCTAAGTGCTATTGCTATTGCTATTTTGACCAGCTGAAATTTCTCTGTTCAAAAGAATCTGAAACTCCTGATTTTTTGCATTGAATCAATAAAACACAAAACAATAAAAAACAAAATATCTTCTGCCTTGACAGCTGTGTACATGTGTACAGATAGGTCACCTGTGTTGACTAACAATAAATTTAGCTGCAATCCAATCTTGGCTTATTTCTCTTGTCTTACTATTACTTTCATTTTATTCCAGGCCATCAAACCTCCTACTGGACCAAAGTAGCATTGAAATCTCACCCTTCCGCTCAACAGGTGACTGGCTCAATGGTATTCGGATAGGGCAATGCAAAGACATATTCACAGGAGTGGAATACAGTTCATGTGATACAATAGCCAATATTTCCTCAGAGTAAGAGTTTTATTAAAGATATATTATTACATATTTTTCAATTCTCTTGCAGTTTTCCAAATTAAGACTGTTCTCTCCTTGTCATTAGGAAGGTATCTGAGAAGGCCACATTAAATAGACATTCAGTGCTGAAGTCTAATTTTGGAGATGGAAAGGGATCTCAGTGAAAAATAATCTTCTAAGATCCAGCTCATCCTTAAATCCCAAAATAAAGGGAAACACTGTGGGAGGACCTGAAAGACATTCTCTCTGTAGCTAAACATTTTCATCAAGGACTTCAGTGAAATCTATATTGGTTCTCCATCTCCACTTACTCTTCCCCCAAACCCTTCAAATCAAGTGGGACTCCTGGTTAATTGAGATTGAAACAAAAATTTCCCAAGTTTTAGTGTCTTAAAAATCTACAACCTGCTAATAACCATTGGAGCTGCATACCTGTGGTGCCATTAAATTCTGATATAAAACTTTTCATTCATTTAAATTATGAAATTGGTGTGTTGGGGTTCTAAATTATTTTAAATATGACACTTTTGATATTTTCCATATTTTTTTCCAATATTGTTCTGTTCACTTTGCTATCTTGCAAATATCTTGTATTTTATTACAGCACTCATATTTCTAATTTAGGGTACATAGATATCATAAGGATTAAGGAATGTTCACACCTGTAACCTAGTATCAGTTGAGTAATTCATTTGAGTAATTCATTCACTTTAGTCAAACCCACATGCTAATAGTTATTATAAGCAACCTTGTGCTATAAAATCCACATAATAACAGAATGCACAGTAGCCAGGGCATGCTGCCATTGATATCCAGGGCAGCTGCCATTCCTGTCTAACTCATACTCTAGTCTTTTACCGTAACAGTGAAATCATGCAAGATCTGAAATTTCTTTACAAATATTACAGTTACTAGTTTTCAGTATTTATACTATTTAGGACTGGAGAGGTTTATTTTGCCTACCAAGTCAAACTTCTTGATTTGTTTAGGAATCCAATTTAACATATCACTCATAGTTAGCTGTTCAGCCTCTCTTTTAACCTTTATATTATGCGGAAGAGCTCATCACCTGTCTGGATAATTGATTTCATTGCTGAATTATTTTTTATAACCTAGATCCATAGCCCCATATCCTGCACTTTGAAACAGTAGAAGTGTGTCTTGATCTTTTTCTAGATGGCATCCATTTAGATATTTCAATCCTATCCAGTCTTCTAAAGGCTAAATATGTCCAATACCATTTATACCAACAAAGAAGAATGGCTGTTTTCTTTGAACTTAGAAATGCCCATAATGCATTTCTAAGTTCTAGGAAAACAGCACTTCTTCTTCGTTGGTATAAATGGAATTGGACATGTTTCGTCTTTAGAAGACTGGATAGGATTCTTTCCATCTCCCATCCTAAATTTCAGCTCAATATTTAGCAGGAGCAGAGAAAGGTAATTACTATTTACACCGTGTGTGTGTGTGTGTGTGTGTGTGTGTGTGTGTGTGTGTGTGTTAAAGTGAGTCACTTGTCTCCTATTTTAAAAAAAAACCTTAGAAAACTTTTTTTACTATTATTTTTCAGTGACATGAAGAAAGTTGGGGTGACGATTGTCGGACCACAGAAAAAACTTATTAGCAGTATTAAATCTCTGGAAATGCATACAAAGAATGGCCCTGTTCCTGTGTAAATTATCAAATGCTGGCATTCAGGACTCATCTGGAGAAAGTGAGAAAAATTACTAAAAGGTCCTGGTAATGTGTGGAAAATTGTGAGACTTAAAAGGCACTGTTGCAACAAATGGGGCAATTTGCAACAAATGTGAAATTTCAAGCCCATTAAAAGACTCATAAAGTTGAGTTCAATTGCCTTAAAATAGGAATGAAAAACTTATTTTATATCTCTTATTCTTGAAGGAGGGTTTCTTCCCTACAGTAATAATGGACTGCTCAAACATAAAATGCATTTGGAAGAAAAAAGAAAGTGTGTTAAAAAAATCCATGTAACCTTAAGCCATTCAAATGTTAATAGACTGACTATCGTAAAAGGCAAAAGAAACAGTGGATGTAATACTGTGATTGGAATGACTGTCAACAGCATTAAACAGTATTTTTTTTTTAATATGAGGAAAGGATAGGCACGTAGCATTTTATTTCTTTAATTCTTGTAAGCATATTCGAGGATAATACCTCAGACTTGTCTAGCCATATCTGCAATGATATCCTTGCAATATTCTGTTTTTGACTGTGGATGGTAAATCTGAATGACAATTGAGTGAAAATGAAGGCAATACTTCACAGATACTTGTCCTGGGTGTGTTCTTTAAAAACAAAACTTTTATATATATAAAATGCATATTTATTTCCTTTAAAAATGTTCCTCTTGTTTATATTTATATAGGTTTTGACTGGGATTAATGACTGCCAAATCCCAAATTTCTTTAAATTTTGGCTGTCAACAATATTTAAGGGGGAAAAAATCAGTAAAACCCATGTGATTTTATTCCTAATAAAAATATCACTAGAAAGGAACTGATGTGCATACAAGAATGGTCATAAACATACCGTACATCCTATACAAATATGAAGAATTTCATGCACAACATTTTTAACACAGAACAATCCATATAACAATCTTATTTCACATGGGGAATATTCTTGGGGAACTATTTAATTGCATGTACTTAAACGTTACAGTATTCAGATAGTTTTGGAGTGTATCAGATGTTTAACTGTTTAATGGGTTACTTGATAGTAGAATTCTTTGCTTATGTTGCCCTAGGATTAAAATAAAGATACTCTTAGGTGCTTCCAGACAAGGATGTTCTTGTGTAGAAAGGGTCCAAACAACATTGTCTTCCATTTGTTAGCTTCTTGTGTTAATCAGAATTTCTTCCATCTTCTTTCTCAATTGAACACACACACACACACACACACACACACACACACACACACACACACAAAACACAATTACCTATCATGTATTTTGATCAGTAACACTAGAAGCTATCTGTTGGGAAATATTATTTTCTCACTTTGAATTACAGGTCACAATATAGGTCAAATAATGATGTTGTTACAAGGCAGCATTTGGATATGGATATGAAATTTTATTTAAACGAATTCCCATCTTATTCATTTCCCTTTGCTCTATTTGGCCTTCTTTGAACATCCTATTTTATACCATAGTAATTAGCAACGATTATTTTAGTGTAATCCAAAACTTGCAGAAACTGTGACATCTAAGGTAGTATGTAATCATATTTGAAAATGGATAAAGTAACATTGCAAAATATTAGTTACGTATACATGGAACTTCTTTGCTCATTCTATAATTTTACTATCCCTCCAGTATGATTTCATTTTTCATGATATTCTGGGGGCATTGAAAAGTACACCACATTTTAAAATGTTTTGATAGGATGTAACAGTTCTGAAAGAAATTGAATTGGATTAAATTAATACTTTCATACTATTAACAAGACCTTCATTCTTTTTAAAATTTATATTAATGCCTTATTGCAAACATTCAATCAGGTAAAATACAAATAATAGAATTGTTCATCTCAACAATGTAGAAGCATGTGGAAAAATTATCCTAGAATCAATTTTCAGTTCCTATAAAAGGAAGGAAAAAAGAGGTCATCATCAAAATTTCAAAATAGATTTCAGTTTTAGCTATTCTTAATTTTATCACAGTATCTAGCAAGGCCAGGGAACATTATTTTGTGTATGCTCATTACTTGGAATGGGTATCATAGTTTGTTCAGAAGAATTGCTTCTTTTCCTCCTAAGAGGGTTTTTAAAAAGCTCTTAGTCTTCTCTTTCTTACAATTTTTGTACTCCTGAAGGGCATTCTAGAGCCCCCATTTCCCTATCCCATGTACATATGTAAACTTAGCAGTGTAAAATTTTTAACTGTGGAGTAGAGGAAATAAAATTTTCGTGGCCATCTTCCTGTACAGGACCTGCCTTTGATTATTTACATCCAAAAAAAAAAACCCACAGTCATTACAAATAATATGTAATAATTGATTTTGTATCTTAAAATATTGTTTTATGTGTATTATTTATTTCTGTTAACATATAACATAGTCTTTGCTGTACTTTAGAATCCAATAACTCGAGATGTATAGATGTAATTGGAACTCACAAATCTGAATTTACCTTTAACATTTATTTCAAAGCATTACTTACTCAGTTAGTTTATTATGTTGTGCAAATATAGATGGCCTGTTACTAATGTAAAATGATTTGTAGTGGAAACCTTTATATTTTTATAATAAACAAAATGAAAGTATTTTTTACATATTGGAATGCGGAGGTGATTGTTTAAAACTTGCATAGGTTTTTATGGTTTTGCATTAAATTTGCAGCATCTGCTTAACTAAATTTCTGATTTAGGTTTGGCTTCATTGCATTAACTGGTATTATTAAAACTACTTTACCATAAGATTAAAACTTCTGAATGTTCTTACTTGATCTCAATTTTCATACCCATGAAGATGCTTCATTGGCAATTCCCAGGGATAGATGGCTATTTGTAAATCATTCTTACTGCTAGACCTGGGTCCAATGGCTACAGCTTCAATAGTACAAATCACATTTAGGGGACATTAAGCCAAAGTCAATCTTTGTTTCTATTAAAATAATTTGGCTTCTACACTCTTTAAGCACATTACTGGCACTGTTTTTTCTACAGATTGACCAAAGAAGTAATTATACATGAATAGAAACATGAATATGTGACTCCTAACTGTGTAAAACTAAGCATTTATGATGTCTTCAGATATGCTTTATCTGAAGCACATCTGAAGACACTATGCAAAGATATATATATTAAGTAAATAAATCAAACCGTCAGATATGACAGTAGAAAGTTAAAAGTTTTATCTTTTTTGCTGCCTTTTCATCATACGTTTCTCTACCTTACAGCCCTTTCCTGACAAAGTTTTCTCTAACTAAATTGCAGTTTTCATATGAAGGCTATGACTTTATCGTTGGCTTATATTTTGACTTCTACTTCTTTTTGAATTCCAATGAATCCATTCAACAAATGCTAAGACCACATGTTACTCTTTGACTGCTTTTACACCTTGGCAAATGTTTAGTTCGAGAATTCAAATGTTTGTTCCACCACTAAATATAACAATACCTGTTTGGAGCATTAAGGAAGTTTAAATTTGATCTGTGTTCATGTGAAATATTGACACTGAGAGATCTAAATAAAAGCTCAGGTAAGTCATTTTATTTTTTTCAGAAATACTCGTCTAGCTGAGTAATGAAATGTCTGCAAGAAAACAACTTAGCTCAGAGAGCACCAGGAAGTCAACAGTTCAACCATGAGCAACATATGTTCTCTTCTGTTGGCATTATTTTATCACACATGTTTCTTAAATACTCCATTCTCACAGTTCGGTTTACATGTATATTTTTCTTTACATATAAAAAAAGACGATTTTCATTTCTTTCAATAAACTTTCATTCTTCAAAACTGGCCACATACTATTTCCACCATTATTTGAATGTTTTAACATTTGTTCATCCATTTCCTCACCTTCAGGAAACTTTTACCAAGGTATACACGTATATACTTACTATAGTTTTTCATTGTTATGTATATCTTGCAATTGTTCACTTTATATTCTGTGTCAAACACAACTACATTTATTAATTTCAGTGTAAATTCAAATTTACTTTGAACCAGCTGTTGGTTCAAAGAACCTAACATTTCCTTTAAATCATTCAACTTTAAATCATTCAAATCAGCAAACACGGTGGCATTGTCTACATCTCACAATAGTATATTTGTTACAAACATTGTGATAACAGAGCAAACATATTTTTGGGGGGTTCTTGTCTTATGTGCAATACTGAATTGATATCATCTAGTGGATGGACAGGACTCTTGCAGAGTTCGTGTTTAAACTTACAAATGTTTCCTATAATGTATCTTTTATCTTGACCTAAATGAGTAAAACTGCAGAGAAGGAAAGCCATAGCTTCCTTTATAATATTTTATTTTATAATAATACAATTCTCCTCTAGCAACACTGTGATAATCATGCTACATTCGTTAATTTAACTGAATTGGCAATTGACGTGAAAGGTGCACAGCACTGTTGTAGAAGTGTGTTGCTTTCACTCCCCTAAAGCATTTATATAGTTTTCAATGACTAATTAATTGAATTCTATCGTTCCCATTGAGGGCATTATGAAAATAAAACCAAAACAGCAGAGTGAGGTATGTATTTTCTTTTAAATGTATCTATTTCCTTTTGTACTAAGTAACAGTTTAAAAATCACTGATTTGAATTACATAGAAATGTAAGCTAAGTTAACTTTACTAGTTGTTGTTGTTGTTAATAGATTTTTTTCTTTAAAACATATAATTCACAAATGGTTAAATTTACTCTTCAACTATGTAGGTGTATATTTATTGTAATATTCTCACTAATCAAGTCTTCCTCAATAGGAAACACAGTTTCATAATATTAATTTTCCTTTGGAGGTTCACAAGAAGATGGAAGATTTATTGTGTATTCCTTGCTTTCCTAAAGGACTCTTTAGAATACCAAAATACGATGAATATATGTAATTCATTTTATAAAAAAATATTCTACATTAACAGAATAAAGGACTAATCAAGATAGTATCTTGAGCCTTTATAATGGGCCTACCTGTAACAGAAAGAAACAAATCATATCCAGTCTGATTTATTAGACTGATTCAGTTCAGAAAATCAGTTCAGTTTGATTCTAATTCATTATTACAGTTCAATAGAGAAAGTAAAATCGAATTGAATTAATTAGGATCAATTCTATTTTCTGATTTGATTTGGAAAATTGGTTTTCTTGTGCAGGCACAATGGAACATTTTAGGGCTCAGATCAAATAAAATGAATCAAATTGAAAAAAATGGCTCTGTGTTGACTCATTTCACTCAATTCAATATGACAAAGTTTTCCACAGCTTTCCTGCTAAGACTTTTCAGTTAAGTTCAGTATAGTTCTTTATCTGTTATATTCCAGAGCCATTCTCCATTTATTTTTAACCAAATTTATGATACAAACTGCTGTAAGATATGAATAATTGCAAGAAATATAGTCCTTGTGATAATATGGCAACAGGAATCAGCAGGTGTCAGTTTCTCTGGCAATGGAACTGTCTGAATTATATGCTAGTTTTATTATAAATTTAAAGATGTCACAGTAGATATATGGCTGAGCTATGGTGAGCAGAGATAGCAATATAGATAGTATCAATGCCAGCCTTATGGTTTCTTTAATCCAATGCTCAGACAGCCACAATGCTTCCTTTCCTCTGTTAGTATAGGGTGAACCCACAAACATTCCCTATATACTTTTGCCAATCGTTCAGTCATTACTGGAATATTACCAGTTTCAGCTAGATTCAATGGGTAGTAATTAGGACAGGTTTAAATATTTTATCATTTACTTATGTGTACAATTTATATAGATGCCCATCTTCTAATCAGCTTTCTGAGCTGTTTCATATTCTGGCAGGCTATCTTTTATATGCTGCTCTAAGAGCTTCCTAAAATAATGCATGCAACAAAGGCTAGGTATCCTTTCAAAATGGTCTCCTTAGAACAGTTGGATACTTGTCTGGCTACATGGTAAATTGTGATGCTGCCACCAGTAAGGCAAGATAATGCAGGACAAGGATCACAGAGATAATCAATTATCCTTTTGCCTGAGAAAGCATATGGTCTAGGATAACTGCTTCTCAAGGATACCATAAATGATAGTATGACGGTTCTACAAATGATTAAATGATCATCTAATAACAATAATTTCTTGTACAGGAAGCATACTTCACAATAAAATCACAGTTAATAGTTAAAATATGTGAAATCCTTTGTTAGATTTTAATTGAGTTGTACCACAACCCTTAAATGCATTTATAAACCAGACCATACTAGAAATTAGAAAAAAAATCTACAGCTTAAGTTAACAAAGAATTGTGTCTGCAGTTAGAGCCACAACACACCATGAGCAATCTGACATTTCTTGTCTCTTGAAGAATTTATTCTGGTATTTAAAAATACTGTGCCAAAATATCTCTATGATATTTATTCTTAAGAAAGTGAAAAGAATTTGCTTTCAAAGAAAGTTGTGCAGCTTGGAGTCCTACGTATGTGCATAATGTATATTATATATGCCTGTTTTAATCTGAGAAACCATCCCATCCTCACTCCTCACCCCCCTCCCCCAAAAAAACCTGAATTCTAAAGGGCTCTGAGAGTGAACTAGAATAATATAAATTATTTTTGCCCGACATGGAAAGAAACTGTTTAGGAAATTAGGGGAGGTATTTGAACATAGCATTAAGACTATCTCTGTAGCATTTTTCTGACTCTAACAGTAAATTTATCCTTGTATCTTCATTATTCTCTTAAGACTGTTGGAAAAATCAATGTAGAAAATGTTACAGCTGATCTATACCTTGAATTGCTTTATAGATGCTTGCTTTATAGAAAAAGTGGTCCAAAATTTATGTCTATTCTTCGGCTTATTTGACTTCTTTTTCAAACCATCACTAATGATTCAGAGCATACCCAACTCTAATAAAAATATCTGAAGACTACAAAGTCCGTACAACACCATTTCTGTAATGGTATTCCTCATATAATACATGGCTCCCCTTGAGGAGCACCCGGAGGCTCCAGCTGGTCCAGAATGCAGCCGCGCGGGTGGTTATGGGAGCGACGTGGCACTCCCATGTGACCCCCCTCCTGCGCGAGCTGCACTGGCTCCCGGTGGTCTTCCGGGTGCGCTTCAAGGTTTTGGTTACCACCTTTAGAGCGCTCCATGGCATCGGACCGGGGTATCTACGAGACCGCCTTCTGCTACCAATAGCCTCTCACCGACCAGTACGCTCCCATAGAGAGGGGCTCCTCAGGGTGCCGTCAGCCAAACAATGTCGACTGGCGGCCCCCAGGGGGAGAGCCTTCTCTGTGGGGGCACCTACCATCTGGAACGAGCTCCCCCCAGAGATATGGAAGACCCCGGACCTGCGCACGTTTTGCCGTGCTCTTAAAACTTTTCTATTTCAGCAAGCTGGCCTGGCCTAACTCCCCTCTTTTAAATTATTTTTAAAAAATTTTAATTCGTGATTTTATAAATTGGGTCTTTTAATCTGTGTTTCGGCCAAAATATTTAATAATTTTAAGGGATTTTTAATATTTGTATTATCTGTATTTTATCTTGGCTGTTCACCGCCCTGAGTCCTTCGGGAGTAGGGCGGTATAGAAATTTGATTAAATAAATAAATAAATAAATGGT